TCAAATCCTTGTAATTTTCCTGCCCCAAATGTCCTTCCATGAACATCTTTACTCTGTGTATCCCCATTGGAATGTAAACTCAGTGATCAATAATTGAGTCATGTATGAGCCTAGTACTCCATCTTTCAGTCAATATATAAACAAGGACCAATGCCAGATACTATGGTATTCCTTAAAATTATCCATCCATATTACTGACCCAGGTGCTGGAACATATCTGGGAAATGCAACCTGGGACCATAAGCAGCAGTCCCTGAGGTATGTGTCTGAAGAGGCTGTCTTGCACTCAAGAATTCTTTCAGGATCCTGTCAAATGTAACCCCTTTTTGTAATGATCTTCCCTTCCAGAACAGGCTTTCTTCTATAGCTCTGGGAGAGCTTGGCTACTTTTTGTTCCCCACCTCAGGCCTCTCTTTTTGCCTGTACTCACTGTTGATAGTTACTGTTGAGGCCTATATTGTTCTCTTGTCTCTTTTTTTCGACCTTTAAGTCAATGCTTTGACTTTCAGAGCATTGCTGGCAGTTTGCATGTAATGCCCAGAAAGCAGATTATTCCTAATATGATTTATTTGAGAAGACAGGGCTTGCTTTTTGCTTCAGTATTTCTCCCATTATGTTCAAACCTTTACTCATAATTCAAAGAATGAAAACTGGCAGAGATTCAAGGTTTTTCTATTGCTGTTTTCCACTAAATGGTTTTTGTAGCATACTCGAAACGGGAAGCTGCTTTTACATTTTCTCCTTTCCCTTTTGCAAACATCAAGGCGGACTAGATCAGATCTACCCCTGTAAACCCATCTGTTTGCAAGGAATTGCATAGTTGACTTGCTAGTAATGTTTCAGCATAGATCTAACAACAGTATGGAAGGGATCCCTGTGAAGTTCAAACAGAAAGCATGTTCTAAAGGTCAGGTTTTTAAAGGCCTAACATTAGCTGCCAGCCGACCAATCATGGTTAATAATAATCTGTCAACGACCACCTTTATATACTAACAACATGGCACAGCACATGTTAAGTGAAAGTTGTTATTTGTCATAGAATTTAAAGGTAGAAGGGAGCCTGGAAGCCAGCGAGTCTTTATTTGATATGAGAAAACTTTAATCTTCAAGATAAAGAAAGAGGCCCTGATGGGTTATGTGACTTTCCTAAGGTCAAAAAGTAACTTAGAACTTGAACTCAGTTCTTTTCTTTCTATCCAGTGCTTTTATGTCTTATATAGGTACACATTGCAGCTAATACTTTGGTTGAGGCACTTGGGTGAGGAAAGCACTGTTGTACTTTTGAAAACAGGACAAAGAAAAGGACAGTTAAATGATTAGAGAAGAGAAAGTATGGCACAGTGGGAAGGGTACTGGCTCTGGATTCAGAGGACCTGGGCTCAAATCTTGACCAATGCTTACTACCCGTATGTCTTTGGATAAGTTCTGTAATTTTTCTGGTCTCCGTTTTCCTGTTCTGTAAAATGAGAAAATTTACTCAATGGCTTCTGAATTTCCATCTGGCTCCATATCTGTGATCCTGTGTTCTTTTGATTATTTTTTGGGATATTTCTTTTATTTGTTGTTGTTGAATCATTCCAGTCTTGTCCGACTTTGTGATGCCATTTGAGGTTTTCTTGGCAAAGATACTGGAATGGTTTGCCATTTCCTTCTCTAGCTCATTTTGCAGATGAGGAAACTGAGGCAAACAGTTAAGTGACTTGCCCAAGGTCACACATTTAGTAAGTGTTTGAGGCCAGATTTGAAGTCAGGAAGTTGAGTCTTCTTGACTCCAGGCCTGGTGAAATTCATGGATATACTGTGCCACCTACCTGCCCATTGTTTTTATACTCCTTTCATTAACTAGCTTACATGGGAAAAGTCACCTCCAATTGAGCACTTTGCCACTTTGTTAACAATGTAGAATCAACCATATCAAAGACAATAGGTTGAAACCATCCAAACTTTTCTTTGTAATCCATGCTGATGCTTCTGTGCTTTCCTTTCCCCATCATAAGAATCGAGTAGCTGATGATTCTCTCCAAGGGTCATAAAAAACTCCAAAAGACCATGAATTATTATAATAGTGTCAGTGGTAAAAATTCTTGAAGGATAGATAGTATAATACTTGCAGTAGTAATTTTTGTCCGAGAAAGGCCCTAGGAAACAGAGCAGAGCTCCTATGACCTTGCTTATTTCTGTGTGACCCAAATGGATGGTAGTAGTCAAGGGGTACCCTGCTTTCACAAACTGATGGTGCCCATAGTGGTCTTTCCCCTTTTTTTCCCCCAGCATCACATTATACCCCTCAATCTCTAAAAAGAGAATTCAGAAGAGCAAATTGACTTTTGACAAATATGGTCCTACTTTGGCCCTGTGCCTTCTATTATTAATCCTCTTAGATTTTTTCATATGTATATACATGCTAATTTTTTAAAAATAATTTTCTTCAATTATCAAGCACTTATTGCTTTTATTTCCCTCCTACCTTCCCTCACCCACTGGAAAAAAGAAAGAAAGAAATATAAAACCCACATGCTACTTTTTTACATGGAGTGTATCTTTCCATGTTTGGGGGCAAGGAAGAGATTATCTTTGAAAAAAATTGGAAATTTTAAGACATGTCAAATCTTTAAAGTTTAGGATTACTGTTAATAATTTGATTTATTCCTGTTATCATTAGTGCTTTAGGTGTAGGGGGTTTCTACATAAAAAGTATAGAACCTACTGAGAAGAAATTTATTTTTTTAAATAGGTGGTATTTCTTTAGTTCTTTAAGGTTTCAGAGCTCTTTACATACATTATCTTATTGGAGCAGGTAGTTCACAGATCATATCAAGATTCATCTATACATGATAAAAAAGAGAACTAAGCCTCTGATATTGAGAGTGGTAGTGGAGGGAGGTACATTCGTCCTGAAGGAACATCACGTTTAGTGTTTCTGAGGGTCACTGGAACCCAGTGATGTGGCCTCCCATGGAGGAGCCACATTCTGAAATCTTAAGTGACTTTTTTCTCTCTGCTTCTTATGGACAGCACAGAGGGATTTTTTTTTTAAATGTCATTTGATGGCATTTTACAGATAAGGAATTTTAGGTCTAACAAAGCAGAATGACTTGCCTGATGTCATACAGGTAGAAGACAACTCGATTCAAAACCAGGTCCTCTGACTCCAAATCCATCTTGATTTCCACTGTTAGTCTACTTCTTGGACTTTTAGAAGCTGCTAGGTATTGTAGTAGATAGAATAATAGACTTGGAATCAGGAAGACCCGAGTTCAAACCTGCCCTTAAATACTTACTAGCTTGTGTGACCCTGGGCAAGTCATGTCAGTACTTTGTGCCTTGATTTCCTCATCTGTAAAATGGGTATAATAAATACTTATCTCCCAGAGTTTTTGTGAAGTTAAAAGTAGATATTTGTAAAGTACTTTTCAAATCTTACAGCTCTACATAAATGCTATTGTTATTACTATTCTAGGAGTGTGTTGTACTGTTTGACCTTCATTTTCATTAAACATATATCTAAGCAGTATAGCTAAAGTGCTTATTTAGTTTGCAAAATGGAAATAGAGAAGGGAATAGAAAAACAGCAGTTTAAATTGTGCTTGTTCTCACTTCAGTGAAGTTCCAGGCGTTATTCCCTGGAGTACCTGAGGATGTGGGAAGAATATATAAATGTCCAGATAGAGGGAGTCTTAGAAAGTAAACCTAAAAGGGGAAATTTAGTCAAGAGTAGTTAGAGTTGGTGGTCTCTAAGGTGCCTTCCTAGTCTAAGTTCCTACGGTTTTTAGATTTTTGTTTTTATGATCTAAGGAGGCTAAGTAAATTCCCATGATGCCATGCTCCCCAGGCAAAGTTTCTAGGCTCTACTAGGCCATTTCCTTTTAAAACTGTTACCCTTTAGGCCACTGCCTCCGAATATAGTGCCACCTTGGATGAATAATGTCTTCTTTCATCAGCTTTTCAGGCCATACCTAAGTGAAGGCTGTTACTGTAAAAGATGATCTCTCCTTTCTCCTACTAGGAAAAGCCAGGGCAATACAAACATGATCCTGTCTTTCTGAAGATTCATTTCCCATACTTGGAATACTGAAGCACTCCTCTTTTAAAATGAAAATTACTTCAAAGTCTCTCCCCTAAAGTCATTTTTATTGCCCTGAGTGGACTCATCCTTTTTCTTTTGCAAAGAGAAACTCACTCTATGTCTCATTGCATAAGTTGAGGCAATTGCTAGTCAGAAGGGTTATTTTGTCTCCTGTCTACTCCTGTAAACCAGCAGAATTTCCTTAAAACTTATTTGCAATGTTTTGGATGCTTGCTGACAAATACAGAGCTTTGCAGTCTGTTTCCTTTTTTCCACTAGACGATATAAGGTCTAATTACCACCCAGCATGAAGTAAAAGCTGAGTTGAAAAGAGATAGGAAAAGAAGACATTGGCTTACCTCATAGTTGATCAGCTATCCCCCTCTTTTCTTGGTTTTCTGGGCAAGAAAGAATAAGAATTAAAATTCATTAAAGAAACTCACATCATCAAAACTCCTTTTCTTTTATTCAAGACTAGGAAAGGGATATAGTCAAATGTTTACAGATAGAAGACATTAAACAATGCTTTTAATTTGCAATTAGCACTCTTTTGTTTCTAGTTGGAAGAGTGTGGAATAAATGCACCCACTAGGGTTGCTAGAAGGACTCAAAGCCTATTTTCTTGACATTCAGACAGATACAATAACCAACATTTCCAAGAATAACAGAACAGCAATTGAATGAGTAATCATTTCCTACTGGTCTTAGAATGGCACCCATATTGGAGATTCTGGAGCCTGTCTTTCTGAAAAATACCACTTTGTTTCTCTTAGGCAAATGTGATCTTCCATAAGAGCTTGTGTGCCTAATTTTTTGGAGGGTTGAAATGACTGGATTATTAACCTGATATGAAAATTGGGCTGTCATAAGGATATTTGCATATTTATGGCAATTTCATGTTTGTGGTCTTTTTTTTTTTAATTTTTTTTTTTAGGACTCAGCCCAGGAGAGTGTTATAACACGAGACATTCATCGAACATTTCCTGCACATGATCACTTCAAAGACACCGGAGGAGATGGTCAAGAATCCCTTTATAAAATCTGCAAGGTACAGCCTCTCCATCCTGATTTTTCTTCTTCCTTACAAAACAAAAATAAAATCCACATCTTGAGTTCTGCAGACTTACTCTATATTTAAGAATTGTTTTATTTCCTATTTGCACCTTTGGTCTATGTAATATTAATAGTCAGTAGATGCACAATATTTTCATTACATTTTTCCCTGTAGTTATGTAATCTCAAGACTCAGTCCCCAGACATTATCGTCTTGACTTGGAATCCTGTCTTATGTGAGTTGGAGCATGATATGACCTCAAGTTTGCTTTGCTTTTTTAGTGAGGTGAGCCCAAATTCTCTCAGTACTGAAATAGGAAAACAAAACACAAAGAATTACTAGCTGGCTTTGCCCATCTGGAGAAAGTATGTAAGGATATCAGCCAGTCAGTCAGTCAACAAGTGGTTATTAAGCATTTATTATGTGCCAGTAACAGTGCTAAGCACTGAGCATACAAAGAAAGAAAAAAACCAAAGCCTTGGTTCCTAATTCTACGGAATCACATTCTAATGGGAGAGACAGTGTGCAAACAGCTACGTGTATTTTCTCTCTCTCTCTCCTCTGTCTCTTTCTGTCTGTCTGTCTGTCTCTCCATACACACACACACACACACACACACATATACACACACACAAAGTAGGAGGTGATCTCAGAGGGAAGGTACTAGTATTGGGGGGAGGGGAGTAGTGGGGGAGTAGATAGGAGTCCAGGAAAAGTCTCTTGAAGAAGGTGGGATTTGAACTGAGTCTAGAAGAAAGCCAGGAAATCCAGGAGGTGGAGGTGAGTAAGGAGAGGAAATGTTGGAAACTGAACCATCCTCATTTTTTTTTTTAACCAGAGGTAAGAAAAGAAAAAAGATTAGGTTGAATTTGGTTTCTGAAAACCTCCTTCAACTCTGGTAATATTGAGTTCCTATGACCTGCCTTCATTCTAACTTGATGTTTTGTTACGAAGTCTCTCTTCCCTCCCATTGTTAGAATGCCTGCAAAAACAGTTTTCAAACTTTAAATTTTGATATGCCTGGAAACCAAAGCTTTTCATGCCTGCCAGCATTTTAATATAGTAGCATAGCCTGTGGCAATGTTTCTCATTGCTGTCCTTCAAAAATCTCATTTCCTAAGACTATATAGAATGTGCAAAATTATCTTTCTTATATTTCAACATATAGTAAAGGATATATGATTTCATCAGCGTGGGGGAATTCCTCTGGTGGGAGCTCCCCGTGTGACATCATTGGTAAATTCTAAGACATTGCTAAGACACAGAGGTTATGATTTGACCAGTTTCACTGGTCAGTGTCCAACATGGCATCTGGCTGCACATCTTCTGTGTTGAGGTTTGAGTTGGGAGAGCTGGTTCAGATATGAAAGAATTCACTTAGACCTTCTCTGTGGCCATTGGTGATGAGTTCATGTTGGACCCCAAGAATGTTGGGGTACTACCTGAAATGATGAGGAATAGACTTGTGGGTCCTAGTGTCCCGAAAGAATTCACTTGGATAGTCTCAAAGTTAAAAAAAAGGCATTTATTGGGGTGATGTACCCTAGTGGACATGCTCCCTGTGAGGCAGAGCCCCAGTGGGCCCCACTCCACGTGGGAGGCAGAGCGTGGGCTGTAGGCACTTCTCCCTTAAGGGAGAAGAGTGGCCCCTGTTTCCTGTAGAAGGCAAAGGCGGTTAGCTAGGTCAGAGGTATGGTTTAAATACAATTTCATGGAATGGGGGAAGAGGACAAGAGAATGGGGAGAGCAAGCATGGCTCCAAAATGCCTGGGATATCAGGTAGTCCAGAGCTGATAAGCAAAGAGAACAGGAAAAGGGAGGGGAGGAGATGTTCTGGAATTGAGGGTGCATTGTGAAAGCACACAGAGGAGTCCGCGGTGGGGGCTTCAACGCACGGTCTTCTTTGATCACTTTTGTGGCTGGTCACATCCTGCATCTTATCTCCTAGCTCTTGTCCTGCTTGCTCCATCTGCCTCAAGCATTCTTCTACTTCGTCATTCTGGACACTTGACCTCGTATTCTGTGCACTATTCCACAGTGGATTTTATGGATAAAAGAACCAATACAGAGTATCTTGAAACCCAATATCAACCAACAGTTTTATCTTTCACCTTCTCAAATAGGTTATCAGATCAGCTAATGATTGACCTTATTTTTAAAGACTCACAAGTTAAGCTTTTAATCAGTAGAAAAATGATTAGAAGTCAGTTAGCAGCAAGTTGAAAAAAAAAGACTTGGTTAATTCATTGAATCAGTAATCAACTTGTAAATAATCAAAAGTTGGTATCTCTTTTGAAAGATGACCTTTCAGTGGTTAATCAGTTGTACTTTTAGACACAGTTTCCTATTTGGGTGGATGTTATTTTAAAATTACATTTAGTAATATGTCTGCTTTCCCTCATTAATTGAGTAGTTTGGTATTTAACAACGGGTAAAAGGGGGCAGCTCGGTGGCAAAGTGGATAGAGTGCTGGCCCTGAAATCAGGAGAACCTGAGTTCAAATCCGGCCTCAGACCAAACACTTGACACTAGCCGTTTGACCCTGGGCAAGTCCCCAATTGCCTAAAAATAAATAAATAAATGAATTTTAAAAAAGCAACTGGTTAAAAAAAAAAAAGATCTCTATGAAGAATGTAGCATTTTCAGAGTTGTATGATCAGCCCACTTGGGTCATTCCTGCTTTTTTCTGTGCTTTTTTGAGAAAAATATTACTGTTAATTACTGTTACATTACTGTTAATCAGAGAATGATTGTTCACCATTCTTAGATTGATATGACATGGGCAGTTAAGAGGCTCAGTGGATAGAGTGCCAGGCCTGAAATCAGGAAGACTCATCTTCCTGAGTTTAAATCTGTCCTCAGACACTTACTAGCTGTGTGACCCTTAACCATATTTGCCTCAGTTTCCTCATCTGTAAAATGAGTCAGAGAAAGAAATGGCAAACCACTTTCTTTGCCAAGAAAACCCCAGATGGGGTCATGAAGAGTCAGACATGATTGAAAAATGACTGAACAACAACAATGAAAACAGGAATGGTCACTACCAAACTAAATTTGAAGTGGCCCATAATAGAGACAAAATATATCATATTCTTAGAATGAGCAAGAAGGTATCGGGAGAATTCCAATTATATGAAGTCTGGAAAATAGGTCTAGTTTTAAGGATAGAAGAGTCTGACATTGGAGTTTAAAAAAAGTTTTTTATGGGCCCGGCTGAAATGAGAAATGATTTGAGCTGTCAGATAAGAGAGAAGACTGTTAAAAACTTGCTGTCATGTTTTAATGGGGCTGTCAATTCTAGTTTCTTCTCTTAATCTCATCTTCCGACTAGAAGGAAAGCAAGACAGTTCAAAGCTTCTTCTGTTGTCATGAATTTGTGTGAGGAAGTTGAAAATCTTAAGTCAAAAAATTTAGGGCTGAAAATAGTATCAAGAATTTGGCGAAGTTTTCTGCAGCTATTAAAGGGCTAGGTCTAGCTTTTTGCTTCTGGTTTTTGCTAAGCCAATTGCACATATCAGATTGGTGCTTGGGCAGATAACTTTTCAATCAGTTGAGTGAAACCCTTGTTTCCATACACCTTGGACAAGTCATATCTCACAAAACAAAAAAACCCGTGCGTCTTATGATGTAACCAGTTTGTAATGCCAATAATTATAACCCAGATAAAGCATTTGATATTTTCATGAGCTAGGTAATATAAGAAATATTATACCCTTTTGAATATGGGTAAACTGAGTCTCAGAGAACTTAAGTAATTTTCTCCCACAGTCTCATACCTAGTTAGTGGTAAGAGTCAAAACTTGGGTCCAAGTTTCTGACTCGAAGTGCAATGTACTTCCTAATATTTCAAGTTATCTCTACTTATATGTTAGGTGTTGGTTGTTTGCTTAATAGCCAGTGCTCCAAAGGCCCTGTGCTATCATTTTGAAGATTTTTGCTTAATTGTCCTCCTTAAGTTTACATGATTGTGACCGAAAACAATGGGGTAGCATTTCCTGGTCTATTTTCAGGTTAACACCTCTTCATAAGGACACTGTCAGTCCAGGCTGTCAAAGCAATCAGCAAAAATATTGTTCTCAGCATCCTAGATTAAAGTGACCTGTCATGTACCATTTAATTTGAGATATGTTGCTTTTTTTATTTTCTGATTAAAGCAACCATTTTTTGAAAAAGAGTCTCCTGCTGTGACTTTAATAGTGGGATCTGAATATATTTCAGGGAAATCAATAACCTGGTTTTTCTAGGTTAATAATTTGATTGCAGTGGTTTCAAGAGACAAAACAAAAATAAACCCACCTTTCTTTCCCAAGATATCTTCTTATGGCAAACTATATTTATTTAGTCTTTAACACAAAGGTAAAAGTTGCATTTCTGGCAATGACACTGTTGAGTGGGCTTTGTGATTCTGTAATATGCAAATCATCATTAGGCTTTCTGGCTTCAGACGTAATCACAAAATTTACTTATCTCATTTATATTTTTGTATCTCAACTGGCATTTCTAGCAATAGGTACCAATTATTTTTCACCTCATTGATTTTTTTTTTTTAAATTTTGGTTCTTTGTCTACCTGATTTAATATAGATCTCACACCAGGGGCACTTAAATGTCCTTGAGTTTGATGGCAGTAGTTGCTACACATAAAAACGGCATTCGTGACCATTTGTCCTTTCCCATTGCCCACCTCAAATGTCACTTAGTGTCACCAGGATACAAACCTCCTTCTCTTATTAATTCATTTGGATCTTGCACAGCATCACCAATCTATGTTGGATAATTTAGTCCGTTAACAAATTTGTACTCTTCTCACCTAATTAGCTCAAGTCCCTCATTTAAATTCATTAAATATTAATTATCCAATGAACTTGAGAAACCCCATTTTCCATGTATTAATCAATAAGCAAGTATTTATTAAGAATGTACTATGTGCCAGGCACAGTGCTAGTCACTGAGAGTGAAAATACAAAGAATGCGATAATTCCTGTTCCCAAGAAG